CGTCACCTCACCCCTTGTCTATGCGTGCCCCCCTTAAGTTCTCCCTCTTAACAATCAGCTAAATACTCCGATGATTCGTAGGGTAGATTTCCCGTATGTAAACAAACCAGTAGCTCCAGTAGTGTTGCCCAAGGGCGTTTTACTCGCGATTCTTGCGTAAAAATATTGTTAAATGGTGATACAAAGGCTGATCGGTAACGCAAGATCTCCATTAAAAGCTGCTAGATCAATCAACCGGCTTTTTTTACAATCACAGTTAGCTTCAGACGGGCAAGAACAATTATCATCGATGGGAGAACGGCAGCCTCGTGTGGCGGAAAGAGATTCGAGAAGCCTTGTTAGTTGGACATGTGTAGGACGAAGGCGCAAGTCTAGCTGAGCTTTGTTGAGACTTTTGACGGAGCTTGAAACCAAGAACACCAGTGGCAACACAGCAGTTATCTTCCAGCAATGGCGTATAATATACACATATGAGATCGACTCGATCCTGTTCAATGGGCGATGAAATGATGAGTGTAGGAAAATGAGAACGCGTCGCGACCTGTTCAACTTTGGATGACGTGGCGCGTGACGATGACATTTGTTTCCACAATTATTGAATAAATTCACCCTTTCTCTTGACCATCGTCTCGCTACCTCTCCTCGCTTTCTCGAGTACCAGATTGGCAACAACTTTGTTTTATACAGTTGAAACTCGAGTGCCGCAGTTGCTAGACTTTTCATGCTGCCATAACTTGTCTGCCTTGGACCGCTTTTTTCAATTAACTGTAAACTTCTTGTGATCATGCCTCTTCCCGTTTTGGTCAACCTGGTAGCTAAATATTATCCGAAGCAGTACTTCGTACATATCGGCATTGTTTTGATTATCATCTTCGTTATCCGTGCCTATGCTCAAGGACGGACTACAAATAGAGATCGTGACCTTCATGGACGGGTCATCCTCTTGACCGTAAGTGCGCTATTTTCGGCTTTATTAGAAGGCCTCTGACATTGTGGGAAGGGTGGTTTCACGCCCTTCGGTTCGAGGCTTTTGGAAGAGCTAGCACGAAGAGGGGCGCACATTATCACTCTTACCCATTTGCCAGTTGAATCGCCCGAGGTCACCTTGATCGTTGAGGCAGTCCGAGAAACAACGAAAAACGAACAAATATTCGTTGAGCAATGCGACATCCTCTCTCTTCCATTTACTCGGGAGTTCTGCACGAAATTCCTTACGGGAAAGGAAACCCGACTTGACGCAATCGTCTTCGCACACGAATACGGACACGTGGGCCCCCTCTTTTTGTCAAAGGAGGAAAGACTTGCATGTGAAGAGAGACGATCCGCTGCAAGCGATAGCACATTCTTGATGATAACCTTGCTCCTTCCGACCCTGCTTGTCGCACCAGCAGAAAGAGACATCCGAATTATCAACGTCGTCAATCCATTTTATGCTGCCGCTGTACCAAAGTTCCCAACCGCACCACCGATTGAAGGGTCGCAACTTCTACGTGAAAGTTTTCGTGCGCTTCGTGGCGTAGTGCTCATGCGACATCTTCAACGCGTACTGGATGCACTTCCTCAGGCTCCATCTCCTAACCCCGACACGGCCGCTGATGCGGCTGCAAGCAATAAAAGACAAAAGTCCAACATTGTTGCTGTTTCCGTCTCTCCAGGATTCAGTCGACAGGACACTGTGGCTCCACTTCTGCGAGCCCAGCTGGCTACGTCTGAATCTTCGATCCTCGGATTCTTAACGTAAGGCCAGTTTTGCTCTGTATATGTACCCGTCTGGTTAAAGAGTATATCTATCTAGGTACTTCTTACTTCAGCCACTTCTTCGCATTTTCGCAAAGGCGCCCTCACATGCGGTGCAATCCGTACTGCATGCACTCTTTCTCCCAACTCCATTCAAATTCGCATCTATACCTGCTAAGGAGAATCAGGATAGTGCAGATAACCATCCATCCGAGGAAGCATTGAAGCCGGGTGCTTTGTATGCTGATTGTTCTATCGTTGGCATCGACCTTCGGAATCGTGATCAGATCCCTGACGACGAAAAGGAGGCTGCTAGTAAAGCAAAGATTGTCGATGATGGGGAGTATGGCGGCGAGGCTTTGGGGAGGTTTGTCTGGGAAAGCTTCGAAGAGAGTTTGAAGGCTAGAGAGGCAGGAACCTCTAATGCCGCTTCAACCTCATCCGCGGACAAGAAGACCACGTAATGAAAACGAATAAGAACGTTGTCACCATACTTTGCTTCAGGATCATTGTACAAATAGTATCGCACATGGACATTTACAATATAATTCCACACTGGCTGCGTCAAATAGAAACATCACCGAACACCATAATCCACTCTTGCCTAAACATCTCTAAAGCGTTGGATAGTCCCCTCCTAACGAAGCATCAGACCGTGCCTTGCTTCCAGGTCCGCTTCGATACCACGAAATGTAAGCAGACATTTGCTTAAGGGTATAATCCGTTAATAGCTGTAATTAACATAACGGTTAGCAAGAAATATTAGTACATCTACCAATACCCTAACAGCGAAGTTACAAGTATCTAGAACCATGTGTAAATTACATAATAATGCATTTATTGCCCTTTCCTTCAAGCTTTCGTGTACGAATTCCCATATCTTCAAATGATTCATACGTTTCCATACGTTTGGGTGGATTAGGCGAATACACATCGTGGTTGGGATTTGGCCTGGAACCAAAGTTACGAGAGACGATCAGTTTCAATGTTGTTCATTGACTTGATAGACAATTGACTCTTACTCCAATTCGCCCTGGATCGTGTAGGTGTTTAGCGCCTTGAGAATTGAAGCGATCCCAGCTGCTGATGGACGTTTATTCGGATCCGCTAACCAACACGCCTCACATATACTCCACAAATTGCCATACTTTCCCCACCAGCTCTGTGATGATTGGGTCTCCTAGGAAGTTCGCCACAGATAATAGAAGTTATAACTTGTGGATCACAGACAAGATGGTAATATGGTCTCTTCCTCGTCAAAAGTTCCTGGTGAAAGCTTAATATTTAGTATACACGTCCGACGAATATAAAATCATTCGAGCTCACGTAAATGGTCATACCGAATGCCCATATATCTGACTGCTCAGAATGCATTGCGCGACCGCTTTTCGGCATGATGTCAGGCGCCATCCACCTTGCCGAGCCTCTTATCGTGCTACTGTGTGCTAGGATGTACTGCCCACCCATTGTGTGCGATACGGTAATTAACCGAGAGATTCCAAAGTCACAGATAAGAGGATCCCCACTAGGTGATACCAGCACGTTATCCTGCATCGTGGCTACTGTATGTAGCAAAAGTCTTCGTCATTCCTTAAAAGGTAGATGTATTTGTAAGTGATTTGCATACCATACATAGAAATTAGATGTAGGACAAAGCTTTGTGAAGTACAAAAAAATACAGAATTTTACATTATTTTCACAAAATGGCTTGTATTTTTCATGTTTTTTGTGTGTATAATGTGTTCATGTATGCCAGAAATGTAAGACAAAGGTTTAATGTGTCTCTGACAGTCTTATAAGTCAATGCAAATCACTTACAAATACACTTACCTTTTGAGGAATGACAAACACTTTTGCTACACACCTGTAAAAAGATTTGCACAATAATAAAAAAGTGACACTTACAGACTTGATATCAGAGTGGATCACCTTTGCACTGTGAAGGTATAAGATGCCCTCTGCTATAAGGTACACAAAAGTTAAATTCGACAAGCCATGTCACGTCACAGTCACAACCTTCGCTTACCCGATATGGAAGGACCCTGCGGCCAACATCACCAGAGGCCTCTTGTGGACAAAGGCTCAGAAGTGACAGAGATTACATATATTCATAGGATTTGAGCCTTATAAGATGCTCTATTCAAGTTCTGAAGCTAAATTTCAGTAGTAGGCTTTGAGTACTAACACATCCTATTTGTATTATAAATAAACAATTAGTAATTTTATTTGTAATATACTATATTTAGTATAATTAGTCATGCTATATTATTTGTTAGTGGCCAAAATCTACTTGAGAAAAATTCAATTTTTTCTTTTACTTCACCAAATGAAAGTAAAATAGAAATAAGCTGTTTAGTATTGAAAAAGTTGAGATTATTATAACTTTTCCATTTTTTGTAATTTTGAAAATCTGTTCCACAGAAACATAGAGAATTGTATCTGCTACATTTCTGTAGTCTTACATTATTAATTTTTGCTTTATAGTAGGATGAGTTTTGTTACTAGTCTGTGAGCCAGGAAAGGAAGTTAGGGTTTGATTACATATATTATACTACTTGTCAAGTTTAACTTTTGTGTACCTTACCTAGAGCCTGTAATAATATGTGTATTAATAGAATGTGTACTAAATCATGAGAGAAAATTACCATTTGAATAATATTACACTTAGAGTGTACTTGTATGTATTTTAGAACTGTTCTGTTTACTATAAATTCAGATACAAGTACTAGAAGGTTATAGTCATCTATTATGTAGCCTACTAGTAGAAGAATATTTGGATGTTTGAGACTCAACCATATATGAATTTCCCTTTCAATTAGCTTAGAAGGAAGGAAAGAAGATATACTATTAATACATTGTTTCTAAGAGAGATAATACAAGATACCTTTATAATGTTGTTATTTTTATAGAGGTAGATACAAAGAGTTTTTATAGTGACTTTCAGTATACAGTGTTTAGTAACTCAATACTGTCCTATTTGAATGTCTCTATATGTACTACTAGTAAGATAATTACAGTTTGTATTATAAGTGACTTACTTAGTAAGTTTAAGATCCTTAAGGCCTAAAAGAGTCTTACAAAGCAGATCCCTGTAATTTAGTAAGCTATTCCCTACTAGTAGTACTTTTAATTACAGTTTACTATTAACTTAATTATTATTTAAGATCTATATAAGTAGGACAAGTAATAGTTAGTTAACTTAAGCTTATAGACTAGCTGTTAGAGACATAAAGGGCTGGAAAGAACTATACTAATTCAATTTGTTTCCAGGCTGACCCTAATACTACTAATATAACCAAAACAGTCTTAATATTAATTGTAAAGCTTTGATCTAGTATGTTTAACATTATAAAGTATTACTAGTAATTTATGTTTATTAATGTAATACTCTCATTAGCACATGGATGATTGCCAAGGTATGCTGCAGCAGGGCAAATTACTTTACAATACTGCCTGACAAGGTCATACAAGCTCAAGTGACCAGTGTTTGTAACAATGTATATAAGAGGAGTATCTGTAAAGTAGTACACTGTATGCTGTTAGTCAGCCGCGTTAGCTCAGTGGTAGAGCGCGCCACTCGTACTGAATTATAGCGTTCAGTTATGGTGAGGTCGATTGTTCGATCCAGTCACGTGGCAATGATTTTTTAAATTTAACTTGCTTAACACTTCTTTTAGCTTGCCAAAAGCTTTCGAAAGTGCTCTTCACCTCTTTTCCAAGAAAGGTTTTGTTTAACTTCGAATTAAAAAACAGAGACTTGGACATGGAGGCATTGGATGTACTGTTGCACAGTACCATTTAGAATCTTACAAAGTAAACTATTCGCTGAAAACCCGCTTCTGCAAGATGTGTTCCGTTTTGTTTTCCTTTTCATTAGCTTTCAATTGGAAAAGACCGCTAGAGCTTTAGAATCAGCTTAATTGATCAATAGACGCCGAGCTATGGCTCTTGGGACTACCTTGATTGCGCTTCACGATTTCCATAAACGGTCGCCTCGTGTTGATGTGATCATGTGCAGGTACTTTTGGCTGAGGCCCACCTCATGTCCTAGCAATTAAGTAGCACAGGATGGCACAGGTACCGGACAAACTATGAACTATTGAAAATAGGAAGTGTAGAAAGGGGGCTCATCGCCTTGACATGCCTCATACAATGTGAGGAGAGGCCACAGTTAACAATATTTCCTTCATTATTGTCCCTTTGTAAGTCATCTGTGTCTTGGTTGGGATGAACTTGAATACGTTTGTAAATTTGTCCTTTGTAGATATTATACTGATTACCTATTATGGACGAAGAAAGTAGTATATCGCTTATCCTTACAGTGTCCAACACGCTCTGGCCACCACCACCATGTTTAAAGGCGGTGTGGCCGTATTATTAAAGGCCGCAATTGCTTAGGCTTCACAGAAGTCATTTAAGCATTAAGACGCTCAGAACTACGCGTACCTCTTAACCTCTTTCTTCTACCATCTCCGCTTACACTCTAGCAAATCCACTCTTAAACCGCATCCACATCCACATCCAAACCTACACCCACACCCACACCCACACCCACGTCCTCACCCACATCCACATCCACATCCTCATCCTCACCCACATCCCCATCCCCATCCCCATCCCCATCCCCATCCCCATCCCCATCCCCATCCCCATCCCCATCCCCATCCTCACCCACATCCGTATCCTCTCTCTCTTCCTCCCATCATTTCTCAAACATGGTCACCGGTCTCGAGTTTCTGAGGATCGCGTGTGGACCTGTTCAACCACGGCCGTACAAATTCGACCCGTCCGGTCTTGTGCATCAGTTTCCAGGCTGCCATAACCAGCAGTACATGGCTAAGTACGCTAGTCTTGCAGCCGTACCCCTCTTCGTACAGGCTTCAGTAAAGTTGCACCATCCCCGCCCGTTGAGGCGATTCGCGCATATGGAGGCGCTGGCGCGGTTTGAGCAAGTTCGTGCATAACTACCGTGCTTTTCCACATAATTACTTACCACTTCACTCCAGATCGCGCAGGACATGGATTGTGATGAGCCTGCCGCGGACGTGACTGCCTTTCTAACGGCAATACCGCGCCGTCCAAATCCGGATGCACTCCGCCCGGATGAGGAGAGCAAGCTTCAAATGAAAGACCGTGTCATTGGACGTCCAGTTCGTGGAGGAGACGGGTATCGTAAGTAGCCGTTATTTCCACTGGCCACACAGACATCTCAACCGTATCCAGCTGCACCGCGTGCCTCTAGTGGCATTGCATGTGTCAATCCCTGTCTAACGGGTCATTTCCCCAAGTACACGGAGCATCGTAATGCTTGGGGCCATGGCCCACGTCCAGACGGTCCCCCTAGGCCGACCTTCGCTCTCATTAGGGGAACGATGCAGAGGATCGCACCAGGTGCCAGTTCAGTCCCGGCAACTCTTGAGAATTACATGAAAGAACATGGGGATAAAGGTTGCAATAACGAAGAGAAGAAGTGCGATTGGGAGGAACTAGGCGATGACTCGTTGTCTTACGTCTCTGTCGATTTTGCCGTTGAGCACATGGAAAATGACAATGGCCATGAAATTTCCGATGTATTCGACGAGCAGTTCTGCGACGCTGCAGAGGACGAAGATGGGGACGAGGGATACTACACGGCATCGGAGTACGATGCTGGCGATGGCTATTTCAGCGACGATGACGCTCCTATCCGAGTACGGTCTGCACGCGCAAGCCCGGAAACGCTCGAATTCTCATCTCCTGCTTCGTCTTTTGAGTCACCTACGTCCATCACATATGCATCTCCGGGCGACTCTATGACGGCAGTCAACTCTGAGGCCTGCGATACCCAAGCAGACTTTTTTACCGCCTTCAAGTCACAGCCAGGGCTGCAATTGCTCTGGGATGCAGGCATGTCAATCGACGGTGTCAAGTTTATAGCTGCTGTCAAGCAGGCGTTGCAGCGTGCATCTCGCACCATCATATAGTTGAAGAAACAAGCGCTCCAGGAACAGGAGATGCTGGAAATCCGACTTACGAAAGGTATGTCTTACAAGCACGAGTTATGAAAAGTCGATACTAAAGTTTTCATGTTAGAATTCAAGTTAAATCGTGTATATAACCCATACCGTTTCACTTTCCATCTTCTCGTTCTCATTCCATCCCTACTCCTACTCCTCTCTACTCTTGTACAACACCATCACCGCTGTGCTTATCTGCCACGACGTATCGATGCACGCGTTCGACGAAGACGCTCGGGCACGCACTGACGTTGGGCCCGATTTGCACACAGTGCAGAGGCAGCGCCAGCCCGACCGCTTCGTGCCAAGGCCAGTCAAATAAAGGCCTACCGCATACGCATTCACGATCGAATCAGCACGCGCGCATACCATGTAAAATAGCCCTCCCCCGCTACATTTTACTCCTTCAACCACTTCCTTTACGATACCCGGTATACCCATTCAACTTTGTTATTAAAATCCGCAAATAGATACCCACCTGGGCTTATTTGACTGCTTCGCGAAGTGAAGCAGTCCAGTAGGCTCGGGACCGTTTGCAGTCATAAATCCCGTTCTTAGCTGTGAGAGAGACTTGCTCAGTTGCACAAAGGCAAAAGACACATTGATAACGAAGTAAAGCGATCTTAACGCCGCTCCAATGAAATTTGATCCATTTCCTGAAAGTTCTTTGGAAGTATGATCAAAAGTGTGAGAGCTTATCACAGATTCGTGACGCAGTGGGAAGAAAGAAAACTGGTTGATTTTAGATCGACGCAGACCACAGCAAGACCCCAAACGAAGTGATTATGGTGATCGGACATCATACCTTTTCCACATTCCCTGTGTCAAATACGGTGATAGCTAGCTGCCTATGGATAGCCGCTGATGCCACTCTTCAGCGAGCAAGAGATGGACGAGAATTTGTCGTCTGTCGTCGTCAGTCGGATGCTCAAATGGATGGTCTGGAGAGTACGGCTGCATCGGAGCAGAGCTCAGTTCACATGTCAGAATGAGAGGGATGCAGGCTGAGACTGCCTATTTGAGCGATTACAGCCAAGAGGACACAAAGGAACGAGAGGAAGAGAAACGAACATGCTGCAATCGATTAGCTTTCCTGATTTGGGTATTTCCGGCGCCTAATTGGGAATCGATAAGTTCCAAACTCATATTTCAGGTCGAGGAACAGCAAGAGTCGTGTACATCGACTTTGAACATAATTATTCGGCCATAGGAGTGCCAAAAAATGTGCTACTATCGCATTCTAATGAAATAAATAGAGTTATCATCTCATGGTAGAAAGGGCAAGCACTAATAGAAACGCGCTTATTGTTGTAAAGGGAAGCATTCATATTCACTGCAGGCACAGACACAGACATCATAGCACTGACGGAAAATGCAGCTTCCATCATCCTACTATCCATAGTTGCAGCAGGAGATAATACCTTTGACGTTTTATTTTAAGACAGGGTAACATTTGCCCAGAAAAAAAAGCAAGAGGAAGTTCTTAGAACAACTCTTCGCAATTCGCGAGAATTCCATACCAGCAATTAAGATGACCTCTTGAGATACTTCAACGGCCTTTTGTCGTCAATGTACCGCCCCCTTATTAGTTGTGATAAACGTTAGCCATTCCCGACGTCGCGCACTTTTTGGTTACTACCAATCGACACCAAAAAATAGTCGTGGCTTGATGGGGCCACAACGGTTGACATTTAAAGAGCCTGGAGCTACCGCAAAACGCGTCTCCCTCTTGAACCCAGACCATTAAAATCGCCTACCTTCAACCACAACCAATCTCCATTCCCGCTCCCATCCAACTCCATATTCCCATATCCACTCCTCCATTACTCATACCGCATACCACATCCCTTATCCATGGTCTCTATCGAGTACCTCAGAGCGGCTCGCATAAAGCAGCAGCTACGCACCTCCAAGTTCGACCTATTCGGGGATGAGGGCATCCTTGACGGGTATCCGCACATGTCCATGTTCAAGTTTCTGGACGAAGACTTGCCTCCTTTACCCGCGCCCATTGGACCACCTAAAAAGAACTCAGTACCTGTTAGACCACCCGGTCTTCGGAGTCCTTGGTTGGATTTTGTCGAGCTGCACCGTCCGCGTCCTCGCGACGTGCCCGCACATATAGAAGCGCTTGCGCGCTTTGAAGAGGTTCGTGTTCACCTTCAATCACTATGTGGCTGCTCACTTACAGTTGTGGCTTTAGATGGCGCAGACGATGGACTGTGCCGAGTTTGTTGCGAACGGAAAAGGCATGAAGAAGCCGGCAGCACGCGAACCTGCCTTCAAACCTCTCACAAAGGAAGAGCAAGCTGCGGCGCGAGCTAAGTGGGCTATGATTAAGGCGACGAAGCCCGATCAACAAGAAGTGAAACGTGAACGCGTGTTCTTCACGCCCGAGGAGAAACTCCAGATGCAATTGGCGCACGAAAATACCTCGAAAGGTCTGACCTGTATTTCCCCCAGTTTCCTAGACAATTTCCCGGGGTACGCAGCGAGTCAGACGCTTTTGGGACATGGGCCACATCCCGAAGACCTTCCGAAGCCGTCCTTCGTTTTGACGAGTGCTAGCATTCGTCAGGTTGTACCCAATACCAGTCCTACTCCACCCCTGCCATTCCAGAGCAAGACCGATAATGCAGCCCAGGAGGGCTCTGGAGCTGGACCGCTCGATTATTATGAGGATGATTACCCCAACTACTCGTGGTCGGAGCACGACAGCGACTTCGACGACGTCGAACAACTGGAAGAGGACAATAGCCACATCTTCCGAAAATCATTCGATGAACAATCCTCTGTGCATGAGTACAGAGACCACGAGTACGATGAGTACTGCACGGCGTCTGAATATTCAGGCTACGCTGCAGATGACGATACCTTTGGCGACGAGGATGGTTCTGTGTACGCCGCATCTGCGCGGGCGAGCCCTAATCCATTCGTCTTCCCGTGCCCATATTCATCCACCGGGTCACTCACCTACTCTTCATCCCCATCTCCCACGGATTGCGAACTCCCTGTATACTCTGGATCCTCCGAAGAAGTTGAGCAAGAGCTATCACCGTCCACAGAATGGTCGGAGTCTGAGGAAGTCTCCAATGGAGCAACAAGGCTCCTCGATCCCAATTGCTACGCCATGTCGGGTCTGGCGACCCGTGCCAGGGCATAGTCAGCTAACCAGGCACCCCAGGATGGAAGAGGCCGGAGAACTGACTCACGAAAGGTACGCCTTGTATACTCTTAATTTTCAAGTAAAGAGCTGACAACGTCAAGTCAGATATCAAGAACAAACTGAATTGCTATTTCATACCATTTCGCTTTCCCTCTTGTTCTCTTTTCCTCTTTTCTATTCCTCTGGGAATATGTACAATAACTCGCCATTTGCGATCTCATCACTGCGACGCCTCGACATCGAGGGCCCATCATGGACGACAACACCCAGGCGCGGTATTACCCCTTGTTCCAGCTGCCGGTCCGGCCGCCTCATGCATAACGAAGGCCGTCGACTTCTGGGCTCTTAGTCCTCAAGTACATCTATTTGTAGTATAATCTGTACCTGTCTCGTTTCCTCTCATCATGGCGTTTTCTTTCTTCGCGATTTTATTTATTCTTGTTTCCTCCTTTTATTTTAGTTATTTAGTGCTCTGCGTGTAATATATTGGCTCATGGCTCACCAATCTATTTTGTATCGCGTCACGAAGTAGACGTGTGGACTTGGGCTACTTGCAATAATAAAAATTGTCTGAGTTCCGTTTCGGGTTATAAAAAGGGATTGACAGAAAATAATCGATAGGCTGTTAATACACAGGTCGTTCCCCGTAAAATCCTTCGATTAGCGGACGCGAGGAATATCCTGGCATAGATGATCGACCCACTTGTCTTTGACTCGAACGTCTTGCATTTTGGGGATGGGTAAACGACAGAGCTAGAGTATTACCGCCCATCGACCCGATGGGTGGGACTTGGGAGTCAGGAGCCATAGGCAAGACCAACATGAAATCCAGCTCAAAGGCATAAGACTGAAGATGGAATTGACGAGAATTTGTTGTACCGTGTACGTTGATGTCAGTCGAAGTGTATACGGGTGAGCTAGCAGGTGCGGCTGAGTCAATGCAGAGCACAATTTACATGTCAGAATGAGAGAGAGATTGGATGAGACTGCGTATTTTGGGCGATGACAGACAGGAGAGGACAAAGACATAAGGAAAGAGATACGAACATGCGAGAGTTTCGATTAGCTTTCCTAATTTGGGTATTACTGCCGCCCAATTTGGAATCGATAGATTTGTTACTCATCTTTCAAGTTCAAGTAATTTTCGGAAAATGCAATTATGCTACGGAACTGCAAGAGTCGCGTACATCGCCCTCGGAAACAATTATTCGCCCATAAGAGTGCCGAAAGAATGTACCATTGTCGCATTTCCAATTATATGGACAGAGTTATCATCCCACAACCGAGGATAACGTGCCTATATTGTAACTTGAAGCATTCACATGAATCACATCTGCCGCAGACGCAGACACATACATTATACACAGAAACACCGATGGAAAACGCAGCTTACACCATATTAGTTGTTAGCAGAAGATGAGATTTTCAACGTTTTACTTGTTATTGAATAAAAGACAGCGTAACATTTGTCCAAAAAGTGCAAGAGGGAGTTCGTAGAACAACTCTTCGCGATTCGCGAGAATTCCATACCAGCGATTAAGATAACCTCTTTTGATACTTCAGTGGTCTTTCGTCGTCGATGTACTCCCCGTTATTAGGTGTGATAAACGTTAGCCATTCCCGGCGACGCGCACTTTTTAGCTACTACCGATCGATACTAAAGAATACTCGTGGCTCGATAGGGCCACAACGGTTGACATTTAAAGAGCCTGGGGCTACCGCAAGACGCGTCTTCATCTTGAACCCGGACCACTACCATCACCTAGCTTCCACCACAACTAATCTCCATTCCCACTCCCATCCACCTCCATATTCTCATATCCACTCCACCATTACTCATACCGCATACCACATCCCTTATCCATGGTCTCTCTCGAGTACCTTAAGGCGGCTCGCATAAAGCAGCAGCAGCCAAGCACCTCCAAATCCAACCCGTTCGGGGATGAGGAGGACATCCTCGACGGGTATCCGCACATGTCCATGTTCAAGTTCTTGGACGAAGACTCATTCCCCTTACCCGCGCCCATTGGGCCGCCTACAAAGAAACAAACACCTATTAGGCCACCTGGTCTTCCGAGCCCTCGGTTGGGCTTTATTGAGTTGCACCACCCGCGTCCTCGCCGCGTCCCCGCGCATATAGAAGCACTTGCGCGCTTCGAGGAGGTTGGCGTTCAAACTTCAATCACTATGTGGCTATTCACTTACCGTTGTGGCTTTAGATGGCACAGACTATGGACTGTGCCGAGTTTGTTGCGAATGGAAAAGGCGTGAAGAAGCCGGTACGCGAGCCCGTCTTCAGGCCTCTTACGGAGGAAGAGGAAGCCGCACGGCGGGTTAAATGGGCTATGTCTAAGGCGACGAAACCCAACTGGCAACAAAAACGCGAACGCGTGTTCTTCATGCCCGAAGAACTTAGCGCGCAACCGGCATCAGGGAGCACATCAGAAGGTCTTGCCTGCATTTCGCCGAGCTTCCTGGACCATTTCCCGGAGCACGCGAAGCGACAGATGCTTTGGGGACACGGACCACGACCCGAAGACCTTCCGAAGTCGTCCTTCGTTTTGACGAGTGCGACCATTCGTCGGGTCGTACCTCCTACCAGCCCCACGCCACCCTTGCCTTTCCAGAGCAAGGTCGATAATGCTGTCCAGGAGGGCCATGAAGCGGGCCCGCTGGACTATTGTGAGGATGATTACCCCAACTACTCGTGGTCGGAGCACGACAGCGACTTCGACGACGTCGAACAACTGGAAGAGGACAATGGCCACTACTTCACCAAATCATTCGACGAACAATCATCTGTGCAGGAGTGCGAAGACAGCGAGTACAAGGAGTATTGTACAGCATCTGATTTCTCAGGTTATGATGCGGATGATGATACCTTTGGCGATGGGGATGGTTCTGTATACGCGCCCTCTTCTCGCGCCAGCCCGAACCCATTCCTATTCCCGTGTCCATATTCGTCAACTGGATCTCTGACCTACTCTTCGTCCCCGTCTCTGACTGATTGCCAACGTTCTGTATACTCTGGATCTTCTGAAGAGGTCAGCGAACGCTTCCTCCGTCCACAGAATGGACGGACTCGGAAGAAGCTTCTAACGAAGCGACGAGGCTCCTCAATGCCAACTGCTACGCCATGTTGGGTATGGCGACCCGGGCCAGGGTATAGTCGGCTAATTAGATGCTCCAGGATGGGAGAGGCCGGAGAACTGACCCACGAAAGGTATTAATCGCACACTCTTCATTTCGAGTGAGGAACTGACAACGTTAAGACAGACTTCAAAGACAAACTGAATTGTTATTTCATACCGTTTCGCTTTCCCTCTTGTTCTCTTCCCCGCCTATCTATTCCCCCTGGACTTTGTAAAATAGCACGCCCTTTGCGGTCTCATCACTGCGACGCCTCGACATTGAGGGCCCGTCATGGACGACAACACCCGGGCGCGGTATTACCCCCGGGTCCAGCTGTCGGTCCGGCCGCCTCATACATTACGAAGGCTGTCGACTTCCAGGGCTTTTAGTCCTCAAGTACATATTTGCAGTATAGTCTTTACATGTCTACCTTCCTCTCATCGTAGCGTTTATTTCTTCGCGATTTTATTACTCTCGTGTCTTCCTTTTACTTTAGTTATTTGAATGGACTCTGTGCAATATATTTGGCTCATGGCTCACCCATCTATTTTGCGTCGCGTCGCGAGGCAGATGTGTGGACTTGGGCCACTTGTGGTCATAAAATTGTCCGATTACTGTTTCAAGTCGCAGAAAAAAACTTGACAGAAGGTAATCGATAGCTTGTTATACACAAGTCGAATCTCGTAAAATATTCAGTCGTTAGCGAGACTGAGAAACAGTTTGGAATAAAGAATGCGCTTACATCTCTTTGACCTGAATGCCCTATATGTTGAGCTTGAGTAATGGACAGATATAAGTGCCAATCGAACCGAGTGATGAGCTTTGAAGTCCAAAATCCAGAGGCGGGACCAACATTAAAATCCAGCTCAAATACATACGATTGAAGATAAGAATTGCAAGGTAGGGGAAGTACGTAAATTTCATGCCTAGCCCATTATCTGATGCCTAATCGCCGGTCTATCCCGGAGTGTGCGCTTTGGTCACCACTTACCAACTTCGAGTGAGGTTCGTGGCTCGATCGACAGAGGCCGCAGGTGCGAAGTTAAGACGCGGTGCGAGACGCACCCGTACCTTAAACTCGCACCACTACTATCACCTGCCCACCAACTAAACCACTCTCTGCCTCCATCCATACTCGCGTACACATCCTCCCATAACTTCCCCCCCTCCCCCCAGAACACTCATACCTTTCAGCACTGCTTTGAAACATGGACTCTTTCGCGTTCTTAAAGGCGGCTCGAGAGAAGGTGCAGCAAAGCACCTTCAGGCTCAACCCATTCGGAAATGAGGAGTCAAGCTTCGACGAAATTCAATACATGACGATGCTCGACTTCTTGGAGTTGGGAGAGGCGCCGCGTCCTGCCCCAGTTCCGCCCACTAACAAGCCAGTCGTTGTTAAACCACCAGCTGTTCAACCAACCAGTGATGAGACAAGCTCTGTTAAGCTCCACCATCCGCGTCCGAGACGCATTCCCGCTCATATAGATGCGCTTGCGTGCTTTGAAGAGGTTTGCGTTTCCTCGAGTACTTATGCGGCTATTCACTGACACTTTTGGCCTTAGATGGCACAGAGAATAGACTGCGCCGAGTTCGTTGCCAATAGCAAAGGAGCGAAGGAGCCATTCCGCGGACCTGTATTTAGGCGCCTTACGGAGGAAGAAGCCGCCGCCGAGCGGGCTAAGTGGGCTTCGTTCGACGCTGCTGAGTTCACTCCGCGACGTAAACGCGAACGAGTATTCTTCCCTCCGGAGGAGAAAGTTCAAACACAGCAAGCGTCCATGAACTCCTCGGAAGGCCTGGCCTGTATCTCTCCGAGCTTCTTGGATAACTTCCCAGACCATGCAAAGCGTCAAGCACTCTGGGGTTACGGACCACGTCCTGAAGACCTCCCGAGACCATCCTTTGTGCTGACGAGCGCGACAATTCGGAAGGTTGTGCCTCCATCTAGCCCCTCCCCACCATTGCCCTTCCAAAACAGGGCAGCCAGTGCAGTCGGGCAGAGCTTTGGAGCTAATCTCGTTCATAGTAGTGGAGCCGGTCCACTCGACTACTACGAGGAGGACTTCCCAAACTACTCGTGGACCGAACACTCAAGCGATTTTGACGACGTCGGACGGTACGAAGAAGGCAATGGCCACAACTTCTGTGAACTAATCGATGATGAATCATATTCGGACGAGGATGACGAATACGAGGAATGTGAGAACTATACAGGTTCCGAGCATTTTGGATACGATGCAGACGACGACACTTTCGGCGCAGAAGATGGTTCCGTGTACGCCCCGTCTCCTCGCGCTAGTCCAAACCCATTCGTATTCCCATGTCCCTATCCATCAACAGGGTCTCTCACTTACTCCTCATCCCCTTCTCCCTCGAGTTTGGCTCCCTCTAGCTATTCTGGATCCTCTGAAGACGCCGAGTGGGAATTTTCACCACTTACAGATTGGACGCAGTCAGACGTCATTTCTGATAATGCAGCAAGACTCGTCGACCCTATCTGCCAAACGATGTCGCGTCTGGCAATTCGACTCGAGGTATAGTCGGGTAATATAACGCTCCAAGGTTAAGAGAAGCATATAATTGATTATGAAAGGTGGACCTTGCATAAATACTATTTTCCAGGATGACGCTGACATCGTTGTATCAGGTTTCGAAGACAAACCGAATTGACGCTTCTTACCGTTTCTCTTTCCTCTCCTCACCCTTCGCTTCGGCGTGACGTTGTACAAATTCCAGGAGGATAACATCACGCGCTTTGGGTTCCCATCAGCGCGATGCCTGCACGTTTAGGCGGCATAACGAACGACAACGCCGGACACAATGTTTCTACTGGGTCCGACTGCTCATGGGTTACGGAGGCCGTCGACTTCCGTGTTCCTAGCCTTTGGACATAAATTTGTAAGTTAGTCTTTACCTGTCTCGTTCCTCCCTCTCCTTTTAGCGATTTACTCCGTCCTTGCGATTTATCTATTTTACCTTTTATTTGCTTTATTTAATTATTTGAAAGGACTTTGTATAGTATCTTGACCCTCGACTTACCTATCTATTCTCGTCGAGGAGCAAACGATTGGGATCGGTTCTCCTGCGGCGATAAAATGTTTATCCGAGCATTAATTTAAAGACTCGGAAAGTATTTACACTCACAAATAGTTGTTGGGTAATAGTACACTAGAATGAGTCTCGTAAGGATTCCATAAAGCGATGAATCAGCGCGAGTACACGTTTACCATAGAACATGTGCTTACCATTCGCTAGAAAGATGTCCAAGCACTGGCTGGTGAGATTCATTAGCGTCGAAAGCGGACTCAGTATGAGTTAGTAGCAACCACCCAGGCAAGGAACACATACCCAACAAAGTATGCATAACTAATAGGTAACCCCATTATCTGTTGTTTAATTATCAAGCTTCTCGGGCTTCAGGTGCATCGATCGCTACTCACCAACGTGAACGAGGTTCGTGGCTCAATCGATAGAGGCCACGAGGAATTTGTTTGCCATATAAAGACGTGACCCACCCGCGTCTTATTCTTGAACCATTACCATTACCATCCCCCGACTTTCAATTTAACCACACACCCCTGCATATTCACTTCCTCACATCTCATCCTCATCCTCATCCAACCCGCATACCTCTCAACGCATCTCTAAAATTCATGGTCTCTCTCGAATACCTGAAAGCGGCTTACGCGAAGCCGCAACCGCAGCCGCCCAAGTTCAACTTCAACCCGTTCGAGGACGAAGAGCCCATCCTCGAAGGATTCGAACATATGTCAATGTTCGACTTCCTGGACTTCGCGGAGAACCCGCGCCCCGCTCCAGCACCAATTCAACGACCCATTAAAAAACCACGCGCCGTTAAACCAGCCGTAAACGAGGCATACTCTTCTAAGCTGCGTCATCCGCGTCCGAGGCGCGTTCCCGCGCATAGAGAAGCGCTCCAGTGCTTCGAAGAGGTTCGTATTTCTCTTTCGTGCACGTGTGGCTATAATCACTTACATTCATGGCTTCAGATGGCGCAAACCACGGACTGTGCCAAGTTCATCAAGAGTGAAGCGGCGTACGAGGCGTTGTCTACGCGTCTCACGGAGGGGGAAAAGTCACCGAACGGCAACTGGACTTTTCGTGATGCGACCAAGGCAAAATGGCAATATTCACGAGAGCACGGTTTCATTCCGTGTGGAGGTCAACACAGATCACTCGCGTCCTCGCAATATGATGACCAGTTGGCCCGCATCTCCCAGGAACTCCTGGAGCAATTTCCAGAGTACTTAGAGGGGCACACTGTTTGGAGAGACAGCCCGCACCCAGCCATTTGGATGTCGTCGTTCGTGCACACGACTCCAGCGCAAGAGGTTGTACCTCTCGCTGGTGCCAGCCCATCATTGCCTCCCAAGAACGAAGCAACCGTCTGGGACCAGATGGAATATGGCACAAGTCCTCTCGATCATTACGAAGAAGGGGACTTGCTTAGCAAGTGGTGGGACGGGGAGTGGCCTGGGGGCTCGAACAACGTCGATGACGTCGAACAGTATGAAGAGGGAATTAACCACAGCTTCGATTTACGATTCGACAATCAATCTAGCCATTACGAAGACAACGCCGGCGAAAACAGGCACTCGTATAACGCATCTGAGTATTCCGGCTACGAGGCCGACGACGAGATGCATGACGGAGACGACGGATCTGTCTACGCTCCGTCTACTCGAGGGAGCCCAGACCCCTCCCTCTACCCACCTCTATATTCTTTGTCCTCGTCCTCTTCCACGGAATCTTTCTCCTCCTCCTCCTCCTTTGACTTGTTTCGTCAAGTCATCGAAAGGGAGCCCACGCCAGCCCCTCCTCCTTTGACAGCAGAAGAAGAGGCCAGCGCAGCGAGGTTCTTCGCTGCAATCGACGACGCATTGTCGCGAAGGAAGCAGCGAGCCAAAGTGTGTCCCGAGAACTCGGCTTTCCAGGATAGGAATAAGGGAGACAGAAGAATTGACTTACGAAGGTACGTGCTACATACACGCCGTCTTCAATGACCGTGCCGGCTGACAATGCTCTATCAGGTTTATATCAGAAATTCAATGATGTTTCATACCGTTTTACGTTTTCTCCATCTTTCTTTCCTCTCTATTCCCACTCACTTCTGTACAATATTTCATCCTTCGGGATGCATCCCTGCGATACTTGCACGTCGAGAGCCCACAACGGACGACGACGCCCAGCTAGAACAACATCCGCGAGTACAGTTCCCGCCCTGGGCGCAAGCAGTGTCTATCGAGCCACATCATTCGCAACTGCGGATGTCAGTCTCTGGCTGTCCAACCACAAGACGGTTAGCTTTCGAGTACATAGTTGCAAATAGCTTTTACCTCTATTCCGTTTCTCGCCTCCCCTCGTCTCTCATCCGTCTAGCGACCCCCTCTTTCCTCACGCTTTCTTGGTTTCTTTTATTACTTACTTCCTTGTATATTATCTGAAAGGATTCTGTAATATATTGTTATTGTCCCTGGCCCAGTCGCCTGCTTTGCTTTGCGAAGCAGGAGGGTGGTCCACAGGGTACCTGCAGTCAAAAAATTTGTCTGAATTGAAGTTTGGTTTTTGTCCTAAAAGGGTAACTTGTATTGCACTGTCATTATACACCTGTTGTATCTCGTAAGAACTCTACAATCTCTTCGTGAGTATGAGAAGCATCACTTTTAATTTATGCGCTGACCTCTTGTTAATTCAAATGCTCCAAATGTCGCTCCTGCGGCTGGTATGCTGCAAAAGGGTGTCAGAATCGGACCTTTAACACGTCTAAGTGTCAAGATCCATGAATCATACCTCCTCAGCACTACCAATACGGTCAGCCCTCCGTGTGGAAAAGATGGATAAATGGACATACATGACGGTGATAATCCACGGAAGAGACCAACACTAGATCAAACCAAAATAAGTGCCACTGAAGATACCTAGTGACTGAATATCGAGGGCTTACAATCCACCTTCCGTCACGATAACTTTAAGCTCATGAGCGATATACTGTACAGGCGTACCAGTTGGTGGAGTACTACGAAGTTGTACGCGCGATTTGACCACATCTAGGACAAATCACAGCCTTTAAATACTTTTGAGGTTCCATCCGAAGCCACTGGATGACACACCTAGGGGATAACAAGCCAGCCAATATGAGATCTGCCAAATAAAAATAAGTAAAAAATTGTGAGAATGGATAAGTCCTGATAGAATGAATGGATGAATGGTGACGTACACCTCCACATGAACCACTGGCGAGTAAGGCCCAGACCGGAAGACCGGTGGGACCTGGATAACGTTCTCGAAAACGGCGCTTGGCGAATTCGAACCCTGTAGATTACGCTGACACTGAGCGCACACTTTTCGTGGCACTTGACGATATCGTACCAGTATAAAATCTGTAGCATGCCCAGAAAAAAATCAGCCAGGGAAATGTCACCGATAAGTAAACGAAGGCAAACCCTGCATATGCCGGAATTTCCCGAGCAACGGTAATCTGTGGGGAATCACTACACGTTCGCAACGTCGATAAGTTGTCATCTTACCCAAAAACCACGCATAATTCCTTTTCTAAATCCCCATTGCGTCCACATTTCGCTTACTACGGCTCTCAGCCGTTTATCTGTCGCGCTACCGTATTGGCCTTGCATTCGTACTTTGAACATTTCAACTATTCTCAAGTACATGAGTTCTACAGGAAAGACAATAGCTGGCAGGAACACATACCTGGACTAGCAAGTATTGAGTTTGCTGCTCCAGCCATCGCACCTGCCGCAGCAATCTCTTTTAGCGAGAGCTCGGGAAAAGGTGATATTATGCGTTTTGATACGGCATAGGAGGTGAAGAGGAGGGAATTGACACCAGCGATACCAATCAGAGGGCTCGCCATTCCTATAAAGCAGGGATTAATGCACAGCATGGCTACCTTTATAGTCCTTACTCGCCTTTCCACAAAGCGAGGACACCCTCCTTCCGTATTGTCTGTACTAAAATATCCATGGGGCCTTCCTAAAAAGACATTGCTGCATCTGGGAAGTCTAAAAGGGCAAAGACTACTAACAAACATGCCCTCTGTTGGGTACAACGTCATCAAGAGATATTCCTTTGTCTTCGCTTATAATACTCACTTGGAGCAATTTGTGCACGAGTCTTTATCGTGTCGAGAGGCTGTCCCACAAGTACCTGAGCCGCCCCGCCTGTGGCTGAGTTAATTGATCTAGTTCAACCGGAGAGGGAGCAATACTGACCAACGCTACCAGCCATGAGTTCGTTTATGGTACTCGGATGCCATATCGTGTCAAGGACACCCATGACGAGGTCACCGAATGTCTAGGGGAGCGAGTTTATCTTATTATCTTGTCACAAAGGACAAGAAGAAAGTTGACTTGATGACAGTCAAGATGAGAAAAGCCAAGGCATCGGACAGACATAGTCGTAGAAGCGTCGCAAGATAAGAAAGGCAAACGAGCACACCAGTCTCGCGTCACACGATCGTCGGCACCGAACTCAAATCTTCACTTCCACCTCCTCGCTGCTATAATCCATGGCTTCGTCAAGTAAGCAGCCCAAAGGGAAAGAAAAGATAAAGGCACCTGAGCAAACACCATCAGTAAATTGGCTTGCACTTCAGAAGGCATGTATGTCTTCCATTTAGCTTCTCTTTTGCAGAACGCAATATTAATACTAAACCTTCTACGATTGGTGGCAGAAAATTAGCAAAAACACTAAAACGACGTCAAAACCACCTCCAAGGAAGCGGAGAAAGCTCGAGAGCACTCGAAGTGATGCAGGCAGTGAAGCAGGCAGCAGCGTTCGGGATGATGTTTCGAGTACTGGTTTTCCGAGAGGTCGTGATACTCAATCCTTGCAATTGTCGGCCGGTGCTAGCACCAGCAAGACAGTTATCTCAAATTCAAGAGAGTCATTAGAACATCTACGGAATATGGTTCTAGGACAGCTTGAATATACCGAGGAGCAGAAACAGTGCGTATGCGCAATTTATGATTTACAAGGATTTATCCCTACCAAGACTTGTAGGCCAGGGAAATATCTCGCCATCGATTGCGAAATGGTCGGTGTTGGACCTGAAGGCTCCGAATCCTCCCTCGCACGTGTCAGTTTGGTGAACTACCACGGAGCAATCATCTTGGACGAATTCGTGCGACAAAGAGAACGTGTTGTCGATTACCGAACGCATGTAAGCGGAGTTCGTGCTGAAGACATGATCAATGGCACGCCAATTCGTTCCATAAACCTACAATCAGACTAACCCGAGGATGTCATAGCCATATCATTCCAAGAAATACAAAAACGAGTAGCCTCGTTACTCAAAGACCGAATCCTCGTCGGGCACGCAATAAACAACGACCTAAAAGCTCTTCTCCTCTCACACCCTCGACCTCTCATCCGCGATACGCAGTTGTACGCGGGGAAGGCACGACTACTCAAGTCCAAGTACCCTGCTCTGCGAAAGCTGACGCAGCAAGAATTGGGAGTTACTATCCAAGCTGGAGAACATTCTAGTGTATGTTGCCAGTGTTGTTAAGATTTTAAATTTTATTTAATGGGATGTATAGGTGACAGATGCTCGAGCGACGATGGCTTTGTACAGACTACATCGGAAGGAATGGGACAAGAACTTCCGACCTGTCGCTAATATTACATCATCTAAATCCCTAGGAAAACGGAAGGTACACGCCGAAGACGATGACGACGATGACGAACAAGCAGATGCAAATACAGAGTCCTCCCCGACATCTTCAAGTAAATCTAAGAAATCTCGGAAAAACGCAAAACCAGAAACTTTCCCAGGCGGTGGACGACGCGGTATTAGCTCTGGTCTCTCAACAGTAGTTAAGGTCACTGGCGGTGTGAACATCAAGAAACAAAAAAGGAAAGGGGAGATATTCGCCAGGGTTAAAACATCCGAGAGTAAAGGGACTAAGGATAATTGGTGGACAACATTAGACGGTGTCGCTTCTTCGTCGGAACGGGGGAAAGATTTCAAGGATAGTATGAGGATTTTGTGAACAATGTAACATTTACGAGCCTACATGTATACTTTTGCATGCTTGGCTTGCAGCTTCTAGCATAATTAAGAATACTTGGATAGTGTTCAAAGCTAGAATTACTGTAGACAGGGTTGTGTCGGTATGCAATTTTTAAGGATTCCACAATACACTTGCTTGGGTACAGTTGGGTACGGAAAAAATGCTAATATAATGTTTATAATAAACACTAAAAACTCTTTTACTGTTGCCTTTGTAGCTCAGTGGTAGAGCGTAGCACTTGTAAATTTTAGAGATGCTAAGGTCTCTCGTTCGATCCGGGGCAGAGGCACAAGATTTCTTTTAATCTTTTCTTTATTTTTTTTAGATAGCCAGATTGTATACAGTAATATATGCCATAATACATAGTAATGAGAGAATACTGAATTTAATACACTATAGTATCTTTTTTAATAAGCAATCCTAATTTTGTTACTTAAAACCTAATATATTATAGTAAAATATATTATAATACATTATTTTATAATGTGTATTCAGTATAATGTATTACAATTTTCTGTAACAAAATTGAGTTTACCTGCTTAAATTGTATACAATAATGCATAAAGCACATAATACATTGGATTCAGACTTCTCCCAACATTATGCATTATAACATATTTTACTGTATTTACAATATATTTAATAAATTTCTTTATTAGTTATTTCTGCTTGAATAAATATATACTTTCTTTACTCCTGAGTTTTACAAGTTTGTCTAACTCATTATTTTCTTTTTATAAGACATGAAAAATTATATCTTTTCTTAACATTACTTAATTTGTACTTATTTTTATATACTAATATGTAATTTTAAATTTCACTACTAACTTCAATTTAGACTTGACTCCTTTAGTAATTAAATCTGCTAAAATGTATAACTACTTTCAGATAATATCTGAAACAGTGTAATAAATAAGAGAAATCTATCTAGTTGTATTAGCAATCAGGTATAATTAAGTACAGGATTACTCACAAAGTAATATCTCTACCATCCCTTTTACTAGTACTTGAGTGCACAGGACTTGAGCTAGATTGGTTTCCATTCTCTGGTATTGATGCATTTGCAGCAGCTGTCAAAGCTGCAATAAGATATCCGGGTGAGACTTGTCCAGTCTGTATACCTTGGCTTATATCATCAAAAGTGCTGTTCAACGTTGCTGCATTAAAATTTCCGTAGAGTGACTGGTTCACATTCATGAATGCGTTTTCAATGGTACTGGATAACTAAATTCAATCAGACGCTTCGCGGCTATATCAAAGAACGTACCGAGCGGCCACGAGGGACTTTGTGGAAAATATATCAATTTTATGATCGTATGTTGCAGGGTTTGCATAATCGGGATTCATGATGCAAGCTTCGGACCATTTGGAATATAAAAGCTGGGCGCATCAGAAGTTCTATGAGTTCGGGTTTTCGATAGATAACCATTAATCAACTGTACAGCAGCAACAGCACCCTTGTCGCGAGCCAGTGTAAAAACGTCTTCATTCAAAGAGAAAGATGATCCGTTCGTATCACAAGAAACGAAGGCAATCCACGGTGTTGTCGCTGCCGCCGCGTATGAAACCTATTTGAGTGATCAAAGCGCCTTTGGACAGAAAATATACATACTCGTCTGATTTGAGTCGTTCTGCTCTGTAAAGTGGACGAGGGCTCCCTGTAGTAAAAAGCGTCAAAGAAAATCAAGTCTCAATAGTATAGTGCACGATACGGACGTACATTGTTTATACCAATACTGGCCGACCCTACAATCTGGTGTGAGATGGTTTGTGTAAAGGTTCTAGTATTTCACGTCAGTTATGCGGATTTCCCAAGCGTCAAGATGAGCGTATAGATACTGACGCATTTGGAAACCTGAAGAGAATCAAGCCGCTAGAACTTTGTGTTGGACTGAGAGAAGGGCGACAACATACCATTGGATCTTCAGTAGTGAGGTATCACTTTCGTTCACCGCAGCCTGAACTGCCGCACTATCGTTCGTCGGCACCGCCGGGATGTATGCTTGGACCAGTAGTGTGAGCCATGTTAGTCCGAGCCCGAGGAGCATCGCTGAGGGCAACGTTGGCATCTCGTCGCAATATCCAGTTTACAACAATGCAGATACTCAGAAATTAGATACTCCGATAATATACAACCTGGCTGATGAGAGATAGACAGCGCCTGTCTTCCACTGATGTCGCGCAGACAGGAGGAAAGGGGAAACAGAAGGAAAGGGGAGACGAGGACGAACACTGATAAAGTGAATCGTGATCCCACGTTGACTCGGTTGAGGACCAAGGTCGAGACGCGACTCGCGAGAGCGTCGCGAATCGTAACAACGCGTCACTCATACACTGATCCCTCCTTTCAGAAATTGATATTACCCCAACAACTCATTCTATTATCCAGAGAATTGTTGTGCATGCCAATCTGTATACAATGATATACTCTGGCTTTAGAGTTAGTTTTTATTTGGACAGGGCAGGAGGTGATCTCTCATTTCTATATTTCCATCGTTTTACAATTATAATTCATAACAGACAGCACATCCTTCAAAACAAAAAGCAATATAATCGTTTTTGCACACACATTATACATATTGAGCAAAGGGATACTAAAAAAGTCCATGGGTAAAACCAACAAGGCCAATTACAGTCTGATTGTATTACAAAAGATTTTAATTCCTTGAATCTTTCTTTTAGAAAATATAGGTTTATTATGTTTCTATGGTACAGTCACACTTTTGCAAAGCAAAGTTCTGTTTGGCATAAAGTAGCATATATGGGGTGCAATTGGAAAAAAAACGGGAAGAGGGATTCTAGTACAGGATACATAGTGACTTTGCTGAAAAACGCTTAAAGAAAAGCCAAGTCTACTCACATTTTCTGGGCCACAGATCTTAAGTGTAATTCAAATATTCCATACTATTAAAATATTAAAATCTAAATATCCAACACGGACTTTGTGCTCAGTAGGAAATTTGTTTTCACAGATAGTATGAATATTTTCCCGTGTATCCTACATAATAATGATGCTTAAACATACAATACACATTTTGTAGTATATTGTCTTTTGTACAATCAAGATGTAGACCTCGAAACAGACAAAATGGAGAACGTATGAAATATCAACGGTGCGTTTTCAATGAGAAACTCAATCACAAGCACACTGCCCCCAATACTGGCAATTTCAATCTGCTGGCTTGGGTACTCAGAACGCATGAGTATGGCTACAAGCAGAATAGCAAACAGAATTAGTTTCAGATTAACTCTAAAGAAGCAATGTAGAAGAAGATAGATTACGTACGACCAAAAATAACACCGAGGTTCTGTGCGTTCATAAGGTTGACTTTAGCGTTTAGTTGTATCCGATGAAAATGAAGCATCAACCGGCCGAGTGTGCGGTAATGCTCTATGGGGAGTTTCCTGACAAGATCCCGCATTACTGGGCCCTTCGAGTGACGATGTTCGGTACCTAAAGAGGGCCAAGATTCAGTCTCAATATTCATTCTTCTTTGTTCCGAGCACTATCTAAAGCAGGAAATGTAGAATGATATCTAAATACCTGCCGCAACAAATGCTTCATGCATCTCGAATGTTAATAACGGATTGGGCAACATCTCGAAGTAATTCTTCAGCACGAACGTAATGCTTGGCGCAACGAACAAGCCCAAGTCACTCAAATGGGAAAACTCATAGTCCCCACGCTCGAATAATGTAACAATCGCCTTCGATTGTTCCAAATCTCCGTTAACTCGATAAATACCTTCATAATCCATAGCTATAAGTGACGTGGAGAGAGAACGCCCAATCGTCAGTTCTAGCTACGAACAAGAAGGCATAAACAGGCACACTTAAAACGTACCATTCGCCTCAATGAAATTGATACATTTCTCCACAATGATGGGTACGAACAAGTTTGAATTCTTCGACGTCTTCGCATCTTCCCATACCTGCTCAATCAAATCCCTTCCGAACATCGAAAACGCTAATAGAACACATCAATGGAAAGTAAAATCGCGGATAATCATCAGGCACGTACGAGACTCGGCTGGGGCAGGGCGCTTGTCTGAACCACCTGCAGATCCGTCGTAGCATGATACCTGTACATGAAGGACACATCGGACGTGCACGGACATGGTGCACGCTACCAATGATATACATTACGGTCCAGGATAAAAACAACTTAAAAAGGCTATATGCGCGTACTTGAGCAACAAAATCGTGATCCCAACATCTTGCCTCTGCAGAGGTCACATCGCGCCAAGCGTAGGCTGCTTAGCCTCTGGAACACATGCTCAACGTGCCTCTTGTCCTTCCAGTCGTTGTATACTGCAGGAATAATACACACGGAACCATCCTCATTTGCTTCACCTCCTACTTGGTGCAGTCCAGTTCGTGTCTGTCTGTCAGGCATATCTAGCGAAACTGCCGCTCCTGCGAGTACAGCCTGAGGGTCAGAATGATACCGATCTGGCCCATCTAAAGGGGTTCCCGAGCCTTCTCCAAGTGCATCACTCGCTGCTTGAACATTTCTCGGTCTTGTAAGCAACTCCAATTTTGCCATTGACGGTCGCTCTGAGGGCTTCCGCGCCCAGCAAGACAAGCAGATATTTTTATAAGTCTCTGCCTGTTCAGCGGAAATATTCGTCGGGAATTCCTGTGGAAAATGAGGCAAATGATATTTTATCAATGCCGCTAGTGCCTGCAAATCTGTCATTCCTTCATACGGGCGTTTTTGAGTCAGTAGCTCCTATCATATTGTTACTAAGGATTACTCTCTTCGCCAATTCGCGAAACTTACGAATACTGTCATTCCAAATGCCCACACGTCTGATTGCTTAGTATGGCTCGCAGATTCTTCAGTTACAAGCTCATACGCGAGGTGGCTTGATGTTCCTTTTAGACCCGAGGTGAGGAGGAGGAGAGTCCGGCTTGCAGCTAGCATACGAGAGCATCCAAAATCACATATGAGAGCTTCTCCGTTATTGGAGACGAGGATGTTATCCTTGCCAACATACAGATATTAACAATATTCGAAAAAAGGCAACAACACATACTGATTTGATATCCGAATGAATAACGAGTTCCTCGTGGAGGTATGCAAGACCTTGGGCAATTCCTGAGATCTTGTAGCCACTCAGTATCAGTACAACTGATATATTTTATGAAAGAATACACATACCAAACGTACCACGTTTGCCTCTGGATGTGTCATGACGTATGACCAAGTTGTTCCTTTCTCCATCCATTCTGATACCAGCAATGGATACCCCGTCACCTCGTCGAAATCGTATCCAAGAAGAGGAAGAATGTTGTTGTGATTTAGCTTTGACCAGACATAAATCTCCTTCTCAAACAACTGAGCAGAGTTCAGTGATGACAATGGCTGTGTCGGTAATGTTGTCCGATGACTTACCAGTTTGATGTCATCCTTCATGTAGAACCGAAGACATTTGACTGCAACCCACACTGTACCTCGACCCTCTATATCGTATTTACATCTGGAAATGTCTCCGTATGCCCCAATCGACACGGATTTCCTCTTCACTAAAACGCGCTGACCCGTAAGGTTTAGATGAGTAAGTTGGTCGAGTATCTCTGGTAAAATATGATGTAAAGGGTTTGAATTGTCTTCTGACGCCTCACTATCACTGTCAGACATGTAGAGGCTGTGATGGTTCATGTTGTAGGTGAAGGCATGGGAAGAAGATGAATGGGCGTTTCTGCAATGACCTAGACCTAGATGAACACATTTCAAAGGATGTGGGATCAGAAACCTGGGAAAGTTGGTTCATCCGTACTTAGCCATCCTACTATGAACTTGATTGTCTATTTTGGTACTCACATGGAAGCCCCACAAGGTTACACATATAGTCAGAATTTATAGTTGCTGATGTCCAAGTAACAACCAAAGTATGGTGATGAAGACTACATTAAACAGTCTGAGAACACATCCTTCCTCTTCTGTTACAGATGCTGTTAGGAAAAGAACAAGGCAAGAGGTAGCTCATCATACACTACAAGTACTGTAAGTGTCTCTTCATTAGTATCTACTACTGATTCTGACAACTACAGCAAATTTGATTTACTCTCTGCTAATAGTTCACTGTATAGCTGCCTGTTCAGATATCTGTACACAATGTGTAGTAGTATGTACAAAGTAGAGATGACAGACTTTGGTGATTTTGAGATAGATAATGTAGTGTGCTTGTAAGGATGGGTCAACTGTAAATACAGTCATAACTATTGAGCCTCTCAATGCTCTTACTTTCTGGTGGTCTGTCTGGATCTGGTCAAGGGATGAGCCTAACAATCAACACCTGTAATACACTTATTTGCTACTTGAGTCTGATCCAATCCCAACCTCTACCTACTTGTATTTATATTACAGTAGACACAGACACTCTCACTCATTCTCTACACAAATCTTGACACAGGCTGCACTATGTATGTGCTTTAGTTTATTTTCCTTAATTATTGTAGATAATGATGTATTGTACAAATATTTTAATATAATTGATTTTTGTTATTTTAATAATGAATGGATGTAAGGGAAAATTATTATTATTAAGGAATAATAACTATGTATAGTCTGTAAAACATTACAAATATATATTACCCTTTCAAAACTTGGTAATCCTTACAATACATTTCAAAAAAGGGAGGTCCAATATTATGCATTTTATATGTTTAAAAGGGGTATTACCCTTATGTACTTTTATTACATTCATAAACCTTACAGTACCTTATACAAAGTTATACTACTTTATCAGAAATCGAGGTCTGATAATATGTAAATTACTTTTTTTACTTTTTTCACTTTTTTCACACCATTATAATGTAATATAACCTTTTAGACTTTTTCCCAATGACCCAGGACTGGACCTCTCTTGGACCCATGAGGACTGGACTACAGAGGACTGGTTCATCAGTCCAGTCCTGCGTCTGGACCGAGTCTGAGTGGTCCGGGACTGGTCCCTACAAGTTGAATTGTGTGTGTGTGTGAATTAAGGTCAAGCAGGTTGTAGAGGCTGAGACTGTGCTTGTAAGACAAGTTTAGAGTGATTAGCAAGTGAAAATAAGAGAGAAAAGGTGGACACACTGTAACAGTGTGTAGCAAGTGTAAGTAGTGTACTAAGGTTAGGATCCAGAGTGTTGAACAAGCTGATTTGAGTAGTAAGCAAAGTCATGTTCATATGTGTACATTACATACTCTGACTATGTCTTATAATTGGAGGTGTAGAGAACTTAAGTATTGTGTGTGATTGTAAAAGTGTATCTCTAGAACATTCTGGCTCAAAGGGAGAGGGTAATGTAAGTAATGTGAACAGACTCAGCTTAGGAGGGATAAGTAATGGTTACTACTTACCTTATTCAAAATAGTGTTATGAACAGTACTAAGGAATGTAAATGTGTGTAGAGCAAATCTGTTAAGAGTAATGTCAAACAAGGATTGTACAAAGGAGTAGAACACATACAGTGTTGAGGAGAGGGTGGTACTATAGGAGTGGTTGTATATAAACATTGTCACAAGTATACTTGTGTGTGCTTGTCAAGTGTTGCTTGTACTATAGAGTAGGAAGAAGTATGCAAATGTGTAGAGTTATTAAAGAAGTTGTTTAGTACTAGTCAACAATACAGATGTGTGAATGTGAATTTAAAAAGGGAGACAAATGTAAAAAAGGGAGGACAATGAAGGGGAGGCAACACAAGTAGTAGGACAAGGAGCAGAAGGGATGGAAGGGAGACAAAAAGTTGGGAGGAGAGGGAGGAGCAACTATTGTACAAACTATTATAAAGTGGACTAGCTACTTACTACTTTATATTAAAGGACAGTATGGTTAGCTCAGTAGTACAACATAGAATCTAAGACTCTGTACAGACACTATAATAGTAGATTAGAGAGACAAGTTGTAGTAATGTTTATTATCTGTGTTGTTATACTCAGAGTACCTACTAGAGGACACTTGTAAGTAAAGGACTAAAGTAATAACATAGTGTTAGGGTAGAGGGTTAGACTTAGAGAGATGGTAGAGGTTGGGGAGAAAGAGTAACAGTTGTAAGAGTGTTATTAAGAGTGTTCAAATACATAATCTTACATGATTAAACAAGATCATTCCTTCTAAAAGGAGAAGGAGATAATCTTGTGTAATTATGAGAGGGTGTTTGGGTACAAGATTGTATAGAGATATGATTTCTATAAATCATAATCTGTAAAGTGTACAGATCATAATATTGAAAAATGATAGAGTGTGCTAAACAGGTCAACTGTATGATTTTACAAGATTATAGAGTGTACTAAACAGTTGTATGATCTTAATGTATACTCTAGTGTAAATTCCAAATAAAATGAATATTTTTATTGAATTTCTGTACATTTTCTAAGATATCCCTCCTATACTGTTGTCTATTACTATGAGTACTTTCTCTGACTACTAGGATTTAGTTAATACTGTTACTCTACTATACTGTTTTACTACTACTAAAGCTGTACAATCTCTTACTCATTATTATGTAAAGGAGCCTCTTAATGAGTCCAAACTTTCTAGTACTAAATAGGTAGCAGAACTTTGAAATAGTTACTCAGTACACTTCTAGAGAGCATTTAGAATGAGGAAGCATGTTTTTAACAAGCTTCTGAATATATTAGAGAAGAAGGGTGGACTTTGTGAAACAAGATATATGAAAACTAATAAGTAGTTAACTATCTTTCTGTACATAACTACTACTAGGAACACAAACAGAAGGGTTCAGAAAAGGTTTCAAAGAAGTGTAGATACAGTTTCTAAGTAAGTAATTTAAGGCAGTCTATTTACACTTCTATTGTCCTTTACCTTTTTCAGTGTCTGAATCAGAAGGGCCTCTTGATCAGCTGTCTAGAAAGTAGTGTCTTCTAGTATAAGAACACTTACTAATTACTAGTGTATTGTGTAGAGAGCAAATAGATGTCTTTAGAGATGTGTAGAGGATGACTAGGGTGGACAAGTAAGGGTGAGACAAGAGGTACTATTAATATAGTATATCCAGTCTCATCTTTAGAGTGTATAATCTCAAAATAAGATACAGCTCAGAGCTGTATCTTGTTTTTAGTAAGTGTATTGTAATTACAGAACAAGATCAAGAATGTAGATAGAGGTGGCTGAACACCCACCTTTATCTTAAATATAGATTATAATTATACAAGATTATCTCCTTCTCCTTTTAGAAGGAATGATCTTGTTTAATTATGTAAGATTATGTATCTAAACACTCTCTGATCTACATTTAAGATAGAGGTAGGTGTTTAGCCACCTCTATCTACATTCTTAATCTTGTTCTGTAATTACAACACACTTACTAAAAACAAGATACAGCTCTGAGCTGTATCTCATTTTAAGATTACACACTCTAAAGATGAGACCATATATACTATATTAACAGTACCTCTTGTCTCAC